GGGCTCAGATTTGATGTTGCCATGGATTCATGGGTCCATAGAACTCCTGGTGACCCCTATAAAAGCCCCCCATACCTCCTTCGGAAATGGACCCTACACACCAGAGCTTCATTATTTCATACAGTTTGTAGTAGTGTCCCTCTAGATGATTCCCATCTAGTTGTAAGATAGAAAATATGGAGAGAGAAGAGGAGAGAACTAAGGAGGAGAGTCGAGTCCGTCGGATCTTCCTCGACTTTGTACTTCAATAGATCTGACTCATCCTTGAGTAATCTCTAGGTTCTTCAATTATTATACCTAAGTTCTTTATTTACTTATCTTTAGTAATTACTTTAAGATATTTATTGAATTCTCGCTTGCATCAAGTGCTCTAGTCTTTGCAAAACTAGAGTAGTAATCAATAGAATAGGCATGGTGCTTAGTCTTGTGATTACCTGGAATTGCACCCAGCCCTATGGATAGTTATGGTAGCCCTAGGTGGTGACAGCCCTGATGGCCGACGTAATCCACCACGTTCTAGTTGGTGTTTGTAGGACCGTAGTCAGAACTTTCTAGCTTCTTTCTCATCTCAGTCTGAGGCTAGTGTTCTGATGTCCCAAAGTAAGTAAACCTTGAAGTAACTTTGATTCTTAGATAAGCTAGAGAAACCTTAGGAAATTCCTCTCTACCCACAAAAACACTTATCTAACTTTATCCTTGGATGACCTTGATCCTTGATTAGTACACTTCGCGTTCCTCATGGAATCTCTCAGGTGAAAGCTACAGCAGTATCCATGTGCTTGTAGATTTTTCTGTTTGCGTAAACAAATACCAACATATACTAGCACCTGGACATCCAGACAAAAGCGCGTGTTAGGACACCTGTGCTACCTTCGTCACACGCGCCCGTGGAAAAGGCCACGCCTACCGCTCCTTCCCCCTGGCCTCCTCCTCTCTCTCCGTGATAGCGAGTCTAGAAGCCCATGTGCCCACGGGAAACGCCGTGCCGCCTCTCCTTCCCCCTGACCCCTTCCTTTATCTCTGGGCGGGCGGGGCCCAAGAGACGGCATGATGATGAGCATGTCCCATCCGTAGGATCCTAGGTAATTGCGCGCCCCAAACGTCGGCCAATGACTCATCACACCCCATCCCTCAACGCCCAGACCATGCCCCCCAGGACTCTCTACCTCTGAAACAGAAACACATGGATGCAACATATGACTGAAGCAGATGAGACATTTAGAACATAAAATTGCAACATGTGTGTGAAACATATGCAATATCCAGATAAAACACTTGCAAACTACAACATGAAAACATTTATTACAACATAAGACTAAAACAACTGAAACATTTTGAACATACTCTTGCAACATAGGTGTGAAACATGTGCAACATCCAGATCAAAAATGCTTGCAACATAAGACAAAACATTTTGAACAAATGATTGCAACATGCCTCTAAAACACTTTCAACATGCCTCTGAAACACTTGCAACATATGCAACATCCCGATCTACTTTTGTAACATCCATACAAAACACTTGCAACCTACCTCTGAAACATCTAAAACACTCAAAACATACGCCTGAAACAAGCACTTTCAACACATCGCAAACATCTCCTTGCTTCTTGGGAGAATGGAGGCTCATCGGCGTGTGGAGTTCACCGGAGGCAGCGGCCTAATGGTGCTTGTAGGCAGCAGCTTAGTGGTGGCTGCGTGATAAGGTAGGGAAGCAGCGGCCTCATGCCGTGCCTAGCAGGGCCGACAGCTGAGCGCCATGACTCGTAGGTGGTTGTGCACCTGGCAGGGCCAGCAACCGTGCCACCGTGACTCACAGGCAGCTACGCATCGAGACCAAGAGAGGGCAGCCACGCGCCGTGTCTAGTAGGGCTAGAGAGATAGGGAGGGATGAGTGCTGGAGGGAAGCAAGGGAGAGAGCAGAGCAACTAGGAAGCACGTGAGAGAGAAGCTCATTGGGTAGGCGGCGCATGCAGAGTGAAGTGGAGTGAAGCGAGGCGGCCAGGAGTTGATTTTGTTCTTTAATTTATTTAGGCGAGCAACACGTGCGGCAGTGAGGTAAAGTTGTGGTGCACATCACGCCACGCGTCTGGAGGGGAGTCGTTGGCATCGGACAACCTGTTTATAGCATGGGCACGACTAGAGTACGAACGCCAGCGTAGCTCATCCCCATACGCCTTTGCCCCGCCCCTGCCCACGAGTGTGCTCCACCCCGTCTCTACACTCGCCGATCCTTCCCTTGACCCCCTCCTCTCTCTCTGACTCTCCGCGCAGATGACACACAGGAGCTGGGATGAGCGGCTTAGGACAAGCATTCCCCTAACGTCTCCTGACCTAGAGCACCCCCATCCACCCGCCCCCAGCACCCTCGTCGCCCCCCCCCCCCGGGAGTGGCACATGCCCGTCCGCCAGCCCTAGGCTTGCCCCCACCCGAACAACATAGACATAGAACACTTACAATATGAATGCAACATAAGACTGGAAACAGATGAAAGGTTTGGAACATGATCTTAGAACATGTGTGTGAAGCACTTTTTTTTGAGGAAGTGTTTGTGTCAAGCACATGAAACAATCAAAATAAAACACTTGCAACTTGCAACATTAAACCACTTGTTGCAACACAAGATTGAAACAACTGAAACATTTGAAATATATTATTGCAACATATGCAACATCCAGATCAAAAACGATTACAACATACGTTTGAAAACAAATAAAACATTTTGAACGAACGCTTGCAATATGCCTCTGAAACACTTACAACATATGCAACATCCCTCGATCTACTTTTGAAACATCAAGATAAAACAATTGCAACATACATCTGAAATGCCTGGAACACTTGAAACATACATATGCAACATAGGAGAGGGGAAGGTCGGGCCGATCGATTCTGGCTGCCGGGGTCGGAGCCGGCGGTGAGCCACGGCGCGCGAGCACCACTAGCACCACCTATGCTCGTGGGTGCCCTTGACTTGGCCAAGGAAGACCTGAGGCTCCATAGCACATGCGCCCCAACGGCCAGGGTGGGGTCAGCTAGCGGCGTGCGCGACGGCAATGGGAGATGGATGGACGGACGACGAGGGAGCGAGCGACACATGTGTCTAGGAGAGGCGTGCAGCATGGTCAGCGGTGGGGCACAGCGCGGTGGGGGAAGGGGCGTGGACGAATGAGCGGCCACACCGCTGCGTCAGGTGCCTGGCGGATAAGGATGAGCGAGTGGGGATTCACTTTTTTGTTTATGAGAGAGATGGAGAGATGAGGTCCGCTCCTACGGAGCCACATTTGGACGGGAGGCATGGATAGACCACCATGGCTTATCATTATCGTATATTCAAATAGTTTCAAGCTTAGCACCACAGGATACCACGGCTTTCTTCATGGAAAAGAAGATGTATGCATGGGCATGAGTAGTCGATACTTGAATATGTGTTCATCACACGTATGATGTGAAATATAAAAAAACTTTGATGATGACGCACTTTATGACACAATTTAGTGGTCCTTACTAATAGTGTCGTTATTATGAATATAATATATAAACCAACTTGTACTTGAGGGAAAGAACTTTGCATACAGCGCCTAGGTTTCCTTGTGCTCAATGATGACACATGGGGTGTGTTTGCGAGGGTGGCCCAGGCCGGCCTTGCGCTCGTGGGCTGTAGGCTCCCGTGTTTGCGGCCTTGGCCCGCGAGCGAGCCCGGCTCCCAGGAGTCAAATACGACGCCGTCGCCTGGCCCTAGAGAAACGCCGCTAGGGTTTGTTTCTGGTGAGCTCGGCTGCGCGCAGCGCTCGCGGGCGATTTAGGGCGGCGGTGGGGTGTCTCGTGCGGGAAGGTGAAACTTCCGCGTGCGCTTGCCGCCGCGCGGGAAGGCAAATCCACCCGCCAATCCATGCGCCTATAAGTGCGGTCGCTCCCCCTGCCTCTCCTTCCTCTCCTCGCTCTGGTCACCTTCCACCTCCCTCCTGAGAGACCGACGGTGAGCTCGTGTGCGTGGTGGCGGCAGTGACCTCCGGCGTACTTTGCCTCTGTTCTGCGCCTTGGGGGTTCTTTGCTGCGTTCCTACTCCGGCTACTGCTGGTACTCGGTGGCGTGTTGGTGTTCCTCCTCTTCTCCGTCCCCGTCTGCTTCGACTTTAGATCGATCTGCTTCCTCTACTTCCAGATCTGCCTCCTCTCCGGTTCTACGACCCCGAGCCCAAGGTGAAATGGACCACCCCTCCCCCCCCTCCATCTTGTGTTTTCCCTAGATGCGACATGTATTAGGGTTTGGTAGCTGATGATGTTTTTTATTTTTTGGTACCTGATGCTGCTGCTGCTTTGGTTCTATTATGGTTTGGTACCTGATAAGCTATGGTTTGTTACTATTTTATGAGATGTGGTTGATGATGTGGTCCTTTTTGTGCACTGGGAGGCATCAATACATGATGCAGCCGTGCTATTTCCTTATTCATTCATTTCATGAGCATGTTGATGCCTAGCAGGGTCTGATGATTTGTATTCCTGTTTCAATTTTACATGGTTGTAGATGGATCCCTCGTTGAGCCGTGAGATGCTATGTAGGCAGGCCGCTGCTTTAACTGTTGTTATGGTTTCCTTTGTATCCACTAGGCTAAAAAGAAAAAACCCTGAACCTGATACACCCCAGCCTGACCCTGCAGCACTTGCACTTATTAGGGATGTAAATGAGCAGCACAGACTGAGGACAATGCACATGATTTACCACTCCACTGATACAGAGTGTATATCCATGATTAGGATGAAGAGAGCTCCTTTTTTGAGTTAGTCAAAACGTTTAGAGAGAGGAGCTTGGTCACTGATAGGGATGGGGTCTCAGTAGAGGAGCAGGTAGCCATGTTCTTGCATGTTGTAGGGCACAACCAAGAGTAGCTCTATGGGATGACATCACCCATGCTATCATGCTTGACCAAGGTAGCAATTTGGTTCTATTTCATTGTCCTACATACCTTGTATTTGTACAATTACAAGTCTAAACCTCCATGTGCACCAAACTGCAGGACCATCCTAAAGATGCTGAGTACCTAAACACCCCTATTAGGTTCTACACTGAGATGGAGGCCATATTTAGCAATGCTTTAGCCACTGGTAGGTTTGCACTTGGGTCTGGGGAAGCCTTAGGGTAGAACCAGGCTGACAGTGCTGCTGCCAAGGTTGATGGTCCTCCATTGACCCCACTCACTGGTGATAAAGCTCCCACTGCACCTGCAGAGGGTAGCAAGGCCACAGAAGTGCCCTGCTCAGGTGTTGGTGGGAAGAGGAAGATAGGGAATTTCTTTGAGGAGGAGATACTCATGTTGACCAACATGTCTGATGTTGTCAACAATATGGCTAATGCTCTTAGGGAGACTGGACCTGCCCATGTTGATGCCAATCTGTACCTTGCTGTGATGGAGATGCCTGGCTTCTCTGAGGAGGCCCTTATTGTTGCCTACACCTTTCTCCTGGACAACAAGGCCTAAGGCAGGACCTTTGTGAACATGACTGATGCCCATAGGACCATTTGGCTCAGACATTCTTAGCCAAAAACTACTTCATGTAGCTGCACTACATGATGGTCTGCATGGACAGGAGGGGGTTGACTGTTGAGATGTATAATTCATCCACCCCCCTTACCCACTCTCTCTTCTTTTGACTACAGCTGGGATTTTGTTTGTTGTAGAGCTTTTGTGCAGTGTAGGTTGATCTTTTGACACATAACCTTCAGTAGATGTATGCCTGGGAGGGTGGCTGACAATAGGCAGCAATTTGGTGCAGGCTGTCCATGTGCAAGAACTGTTAAATGTTGTATTTTGGCCAATGATGACACAATGGATTGATGCATTAGCTGGCTACATATCATTTTGCTGCCTCTTATCTGTTTCTGTGAACTTCTTCGTTTGTTGGCTTCAAAACTTGACTAGTGGATGCTGCAATTCTTCTTTACTGACTTTGATTATCCCATGTAGCTAGTAATACCATGAATTGTTAAACTAGCATGTCTGAGGCCAACTATTGTGTAACACCCCAGGTGTTTATCATCAGTTAAGCAATAGGTTTGAGCTCAAACATGACATGTCAAGTGGTAATCAAGGTGTCAAGATCAAATTTACATGATGGAGCTCCAACTTAAACTTGGGCCATGCACATTGCTTACATATGGACCCTTGTTAAGATTATGCAAGAGTAATGTTAAACATACTTATTCCATGTACATTACATCCCCATGCATCCATCTAGAACCGTGGAAAAGTTTCATGAAGTTTGGAATCAAAAAGTCACATGAAATGATAAGTCATATCTTGGCATGAATTGCTTTATCAAGTGGATGGAAACCTATGAAGTCAACCAAACCTTGGTACCTTGCTCAAACAACTCTACTTGCACTCATGAACAAAAGTTATGAAGGGTTCATGTTGAGCAGGTGGCCAGAAAATGCTCCAATGGATCAAAAAGGATAATTTAAGCTTCATCGTGATCCTACTTTGGTCAAAGTAGAACAGTAGGTTCTATACCAGTTTTGAAGTTGCACCTTAAATAAAAGTTGAAGATTGAGTAGAGTAGAACAAACTTTGTTTTTGGAGCAAGAGCCAGATCAACTTGGAACTAAGTCAAGCAGAGGCTCGAAAATTGAATCAATTGGCTGTTTTCAGACTTAGAATTTTTCTAAGTCTGGAATTCATCGTCGTCGCCATTGGCATTCCGCGTTCTCCAAATTTTGCTAAGCAACTTGAGTTGGTCCAAAAATAAAAGTTGGAGATAATTATTTGGAGAAGAGGATACCCAAAGATGGGATCAATTGGACCAAGTTTGACTTCCCAAAATGAACAAAAACCGAGCTTTACTTTGATCGACATTAATTCATTGACAGTGTCAAATTAGGGCCTATTTATATCTTAATCCTTTGCTCTAATGGCTATGAACCTTTAACAAAATTTGTAGAGCATCGGATGGAGATCAAACTTCGTTAAAGGCCCACCATCAAATTCCCTACCGAACCAGCCCAAAAGCGGCTTCCAAGGCGCTTGGCTGGATCGCTTCGCCACCTGCTCGTCAAAATGCCGACGCGTGGCGTGGCAGGCGTGGGCGACCATGCGAGCAGCGCCCCACCTCCATGCCGCGTGCCCCTGCGCCCGATCACGGATAACCGAGCCCCGGCCGAGCTCTCCATCCCCTTCTCCTCCCCCGCTCGCTCCCTCTCGCGCTCTCTCGCTCGCTCGCTCTGTGGCGGGGCGTCGTCCCGCCATGGCCGTGAAATTTGAGCTCACCGTCGTCCGCCGTTCCCTAGCTTTCGAGCCCCTCATGACCAACCACGCGAACCACCGCCTCCGCCTCCTTCTCTCTCTCGACCGACGATCCTCGGCCGAAGCGGGGAGACCGCCATGACAGCCCAGCCATCGGAGCCGCCATTTGTGTGGCCGCCCAGCGCGCGTGGTTGGGGCTCCACGCTCCACCTCGGCCGAGCCGAGAGGCCACCGGCGAGTCGTGCTGGCCTCCCGGTGCTCCGCCGCCGCTCCACCATCGCCGAAGAGCCCCCTACGACCGTCACCGACGAGCCTCAGTGCCTCCTCTGCTTCCTAATCCCGTCAGGGACTGTTTACTAGAATTCGACGTAAGTCAGGGGCCTAGCTGCAATGTCAGTGACTCAGATGAATAGTGCCGATAAGGACCTATTTGCAGTAAATTTGCTGAATCTTTGGAAATTCATAGTAATTCATAGTAAATTCGTAAAATAGCAAATGAGGACTTTTTGGAATCCTTGTGAAATTCTCTATGCAATAGATCTATAATATTACATGTTTTACTTTAAAGTTTTAGCTGTAAAAATATATTTATGCAGCTAGGTTCGTAATGCTAGTGGTATTTGTCTTTTTCATAACTGTAGATCTAGGGCTCCAAATAAAGTGAAATTTTTGTGGCATGCTAATCATGTGATAGTTGATGTGTGATAAAAATTTCATGAGTATTGGATGAAGTATGAGTGAGTTATTGGTTTATCTTGCTCTCACATGATTTCTTGCTTTAGCAACTTGTCTTTTTCATAGAGGTTGCTATACATATTCAAATGGAGTGAAATTTGGACAGTAGACTATTGAGAGGATATGTGAGCCACTGTAATTTTTGTAGAATTTATTGTATAATTTTGGTATATGTTCATTAAGTCACCTTGTTATCTAAAATAAATTAAGAAATGCATTAAAAGAATTTATTTGGTCATGGACCCTAGGTTTTCTGGTGTTCTTTAGTCATGTGTGACATGTTGGTAAAGTTGGTTTTGCCCAATTATGTGTTTGCAACATAAGTTAATAATTATTTTCTTGCCGATGTGGTTTATGGACAGATCTGAGAACTTAGCAAAGTTCTTCATGATAATGTGCTTTGTTGTGAAACTTGTTTATACAAAAGTTGTAGATAATTCATGTATCTAGCTACTGTTAAAATTTGGTGTCATTTGGACAAGTAGTTTAAGAGTTACAACTGTTTAAAGTTAGAGTACAGGATTTGTTGCTCTCTGTTTTGTATGGACCAGTTTCTGTAAAGGTATAATTTCGACCTACTTAACTTGTGAATCATGCTATGATGGTTACAGATGAAATGTAGATAATTTCATAAGCTTTCCAAAATGTCTTCTTGCAAGTCATTTGGATTTGTGTAACTACAGTTATGCTTCTCTGAAGTTGCAATCAGTTTTATGTCCATGTCTAGACAGGTCTGAAACATCTACATGTTTGACCTGTTTAACTTTGTAATTAGCTTTTTTATGTAAACATCAATCTTGTATACAATTTCTATGGATTTTCATAAAGTCTTAGATCATCCTTGTGGGATGTTTGTAGCTCAAGTTATGTTTGAAACAAGTGACTGTTTGCTGCTGTCCAAATCTGCTTGTATCTAGAATTGTTTGCTTCTACTTGCTCTTGTTTGTATGATTGCAAATGGTTATCTTGGACACCTAGAGTTAAGGTAGCATGCCTAAAATGTTTTGCTAAATTGTGAAGTACTTGATCATGTATAGCTAGCTGGTTGTATGACATGCTTATGTGTGTATAGTGTAACATATGCTTGTTTAGTATGCTTGTTGCATTCCTTCATGTGTATTCTTTATGTTCATGCATACGCATCTATGCATCTCATCCTAGGTACGCTTAGGTACAGCACGTGGACGTGGGAGCATGATGTGGAGGCAGACGATGGTGTATGGTGGACCTATCCCGAAGGTGGAAGGACTGGACAAGTGCTAGAACGGGAGATGCTCACTTAGCGAGTGTCGTCTACCTAACAATCGACTTGTGTCGGATCCCGAGGCAAGCCCGGAGCATATTAAGCCTCCTAATTTCGAAATGCAGTTACAATATTATTGTTACATATATATATTGTTGCATTAAGTTTAGGCGTTAGATGAAAACACTTGCTGCATTGGTTATCCAATCCTTGTCCGGATATTGATACACAGAATCCTATGTAGCTCAGGCTCGTGTAGTGCTTAGCCCTGCTCAAACACGGTAGAAGTCGGGTGATTTCATCACTGCGAGAGATAGGAAGATACATATGGCACGGTTGGCTATATTTGCTATCGTGGAAAAAGAACCGGTCTTAATTTGAAATGAAGACCGGACGGAGGCTTGCCGATTTGCGGTGACTCCGTCTGCGTGTCGATTAAGGACTGAATCTTGGAGCCTTTCCTGTTCATGTTGAACACATGCCTCTCTCTTAGTTGGCCGGTTTGGAGACCGACAACGAAGCCGAGTAGCTCACCTCAGGCCGGGAGTCGATAAGTATAAAGTGCGCCTCGGAAGGGAGCCGTAGGCGTGAGTCCAAGGGCAGGTGATTTAAAAGTCCTGATCGTCCTGGCAGAAGGGTAATCCCTGAGAGTGCTGGCGCTGATCGAACCCGCGAATTTGGTTCCTGAGATGTTCCAAAGGTGACCACGGCTACCCTTGCAAAGTATGCGGGGTGAGAGTTAGGAATACCCCCTCAGCTGAGTTGTAATTCGATTCGAATCGCCGTCTCTCCCGGTTAGTGAGAACTTGACGGGCTTATCTCCAATGTAGATGCACTTAATAACTTAATGGTTCGGAAATGATGATATGATGATGATGACCTTATTATACCTGCTATGGTTAATATTGATTGCTCCTAATAAGTGAGTGCTCTAGTACGGTGCTAATCTAGTGGACGGGTAAATGATGATAAGCTTGATGCTAAGTTTAAATTGGTTACTATGCTCATAAGCTCGTTTATGCAAATGTGTCAAGCTAGCCCACCTCATAAGCCTTGCATAACCCTTGGTGTCACTTGTTTTGGTTTCCGACGGGTAAGTCCAAATTTGAGTACATTCGAGTACTGGGTTTATCCCACCATGTTGCGGGTGAAGTTCTTGGCTGTGAAGATGGTGGCTAACCGCCGATGGGCTCGGTGATTCTATAGTTACTTCTCATCTATATGCTTTTGTCGGATGATGTCACTTATGCTAGTAATGTAT